AGAGAGAGAGAGAGAGAGAGAGAGAGAGAGAGAGAGAGAGAGGAGGTTGGCAAAAGACCCGCGCACACGTGCGGCATCAAGAACGAAAGAGGGATCGAGGAAGGGAGGAAGGACCGACACACTCATGCACTCATGCAAACGGTCGACACCCAGCAATCCCTATCATCGCAGCCGAAAGCGCACAGTGTCATACACACCTACTCATAAAGTTGTCCTGGACAATGAGATATTCCACATCCATAGACTCTCATACCCGAGCATGCACACAACAAAATACCCATATATCGGGACATTGCACAAATCACGCTGAGACAAAGCAGCAATGGAGATAAAAGCGAGTTCCTTAGTATACAAAATTTCTCAAACGACTGGCCACCTTGGGCCCAGCCCCCAATCAGTCAGAACCACCAACAACCATAGCCACAAGGCCCTACCGCTGTCGGCGTCCGATCTCCACCACCGCTCAGTCCCTCTGACTATCTTACACCAAGTCTATCCCTAAGCCCGCCGCACGTCGTCACTCCTTCCGTCACTTAGGCTCGTCAAGCCTGTTCGACGCCGTGGACCTCGTGCATAGCTCGTGCAACATTGCAGCCGAGATCAAAGATAGGGAGAGGAAGGGGTTGCGAGAATTTATAGCGCGGAAGGCGGCGGGGAGTGAGCGCAAGGTGCGGGCAGCATGAGGTGTAGATGACCAGGACAGCAGACGGGTTGGGGTTCCAGAATTGAAAGAGGCAATTTGAACGATCTGTGTGATTGGGGTGGTCGTTCAAGTGGTACGCGCCTTCCGCTCTCACCACATTGATCCGGCCATCCCAATCACACAGCCAATCGTTCACGACGATGGGTAAGGAGAGGATCGGACTTTGCTCGAGGGAAGACGAAGGGGCATGTAAGAAGGGGAGGCGCAGCAAGAAGGGAAGATGGCGCGAGGATGCAAAGCGAAGGAGCGGGTTTACGCGGCGCGCAAAAAATTTAAAAACAGCCGCGCGTGCAAAAATTCCTAACTGTTTCTTGGATTTCTCGGCCCGGTTGCTCGAGAAAGGCATCGGGGGCCGCACGAGAAAGGCTTATGTGAGATTTTCCCCTAAGGGTACGGGAAGCCGCTGAGTACGGATCCTGGCTTATCGCAAGCAAGGTCCCCTCCAGCCCGAGGAGGTTTTGGGTGGGGAATCCTAAATCAAAGGATTCGACCTCGATGTGTTTTCACATTTTTTCAAGGACTTTTCGGTCCAAGTTTTATGAGCCAAAATGTCCTCCAGGGCTGGGTCATGGCTAGACTTGGTGCCTGTCACTGCCGTTCTTTCTATCCAAGTTTTGTGAATGAAAACATCCTCCACGTGGTCGTCCGAAGTTCCCCGACAATGCTTTGTTTAATTCTGCTTCCACCAGGGCTGGGTCATGGCTAGCCTTGGTGCCGCTTACTGCTGTTCAGTCCAAGTTACCCTTGATACTGGTAGGGTAATGGTCCTGTGTGCTGGTCACACTGAGGTAGGATAGTAGCGATAGGGGGTGCGCTAGGAGTATTGACGCGAGGATGGGATGGGAGGTGGCCTCTTCTTCTCAGGACTTTTTAGACAGAAAAAAATATTACCGTGGGCCTAGTAACTGGCCTCTATAACACCCTGGACTTTTTAGACAGAAAAAAATATTAAAAAAAAAAGGAAAAGAAAAGGATGCGGTGTAAGGATGACTACGTCCCCAAGGGCCTCGACCCACTAGCATCGCGTAAAACTATGTGTGGCGGCCGTTTCTTTAAAAAAAACACATAAAGAAATCTCAATATTGAATATTCTCAATTTCTGCGAAAAAAAATAGCAAGGCGCGAAGCTTCAAAAACATCCCCCCCCCCAAAAAAAACCATAGTATTGAAGCTTCGCGCCAACGCAAAGTGGCCAACTCAATGGCCAACAAATGATTAAGAAAAAGATTCTACTGGCCGACAGGAAGCTGCATCCACGAAAACAAAGACAATTCACACTAGCAGTGGATACACAAAATGATCAATGACTCACGCATGTCACAGACGGCCGCACGTGGTCGAAAACGGCGGAGCACAAGCGTAAATCGGACGTAGTGGGACGAGGCCCCAAGGAATGTCTAACGGAGCACAAGCGTAAATCAGACGTAGAGGGATGAGGCCCCAAGGAATGTCTAACGAGGTCCTAAGTGGAGGGAGGCTGCGAATTTCAAGAGTGCCCAGGGTCTGCCAGCTCTCCAACTACTTTTTTAATGAGTGGAGCTCCACTACACTACTAGTAGACTCTATTCTCTAGAGTTCTGCCTCTCTCCACTTACGCTAGACCAACCTTTCCAAAATGTTTGTCGCACTTTGGACTCCTCTAGAGATTCCCGTGCTGGTCTGTTTCGAAAAAGCTGAAATTCAGAGACTCCACCGCAGGTCTGGGTGGACAAACTAGGCTTGCCGTGTCACTTTGTGGAATTGGACTGCAGTAGACAGTAGAGCGCGGCCCTCCACGTATCTTTCCATGTTCTTGCATTAGATTCATTCTTAATTTGCAGATTTGGCCAGTGTCTTCCCCGCTCCACTGCACTGGCGTCATACTTTCTAGTGTTGGAGAGTCCGTCCGGAGTAGTGCCCTCCAGTGTAAGTGCAGCGAGCCCGACCTTTTTGCTATTTTCTAGACTCGAACAACTGTAGACGGGGACTCTAGACTATTTCTCGAGTCTAGTGTAGTGGAGCGAGACCCATTTGCATGTGTGTGTGTGTGTGTGTGTGCGTGTGTGTTGTCATATTCGCTAAACACTCAAAAAAAGCACGACTGTGCCGAACAGACTGTTTCGTCGGACTTTCACCGACTCATCAGGAGGTTGTGTGTTGGTCATGTTTGCTATACACAGCTGCCAGAGAAAAGGTTAACTGTCATGTTCGCCGCATCTGGGCCGAAAGTTGAGCCAAATACGGATATAATGACCCCACTTTCTATTCGGGGAAAGACGGTAGTAAATTAGCCTTTTGATTATGGGGAAACTCAGTCGGCCAGGGGAAAATGGACAGCGGTACCTCGCGGCACCACCATCGCACCAGATGGACCATGGCGTAGACTACTCCCTGGCCCTGGAGCACCTCCGCCTCCAATAATATCGCCGGCCAGAAACCGAGAAGCGGGCCCGGAGGGACTTTGTCTCAGGTAGTACCTAGAGTTCCGGCGGAAGGACAGTCAAAGAAAGAGCTCGAACGGTCCGTGAGGAAGAGTTAAAGAAGCCCGTGTGTGTGTGTGTGTGTGTGTGCGCGTGCGTGCGTGTGTGTGTGTGTGAGAGAGAGAGAGAGAGAGAGGGAGAGTGTGTGTGTGTGTGTGTGTGTGTGTGTGCGCGTGCGTGCGTGTGTGTGTG